ATCTGGAGAAAGATAAATACCACATGATCTCACTTATTTGTGGAATCTAATGAACAGAATGAACTGACCAACAAAAATAAGACCCGAAGCAGGGAGGCCTGGAACAGATGGACATACCTCGATGAGGGGTGGGGGGGACCAGAAGAGATAAGGAAGGAAATTACATGCTCACATATATTGCCCATGGACACGGGCAATAAGGTGGTGGAGATCTGGAGGGTGACTAGGGGCTGAGACGAGAGAGGTAAAAGGGGGGAAATGGGAGATAGCTGTAATACTATCGACAATAAAAAATCCAGTGAGAGAAAAGATATAAACAAACAAGGCTGAGACACGTGTGTCTGATGCACTCCTTTCTCTCTGGGAGGGAAGCAGGGCTGGCCTCCCCGTCACTCACTGGAATTCTCGCGATTGGACGCAACAGCAAAGGGCGAGACCAGCACTCCCTGCCCCTCACCTCCACTGCGGGCCTTGGGGCAGGGCCGCTCTTCATCTGGAGGGGCCGAGGGCCGTCCTGTGTGCTCTGGATGCTGAGTGTCCCCACCTCTACACACCAGGTGCCAGTGTCCCTCCCCTGGTTGTGACAACCACAGACGTCCCCGGGGGACAAAATCACCATCAACCGAGAGCCCACGGGAACTGCAGGTGCCCAGGGTCCAGAGCAGGTGAGGAGGGCTGTCACATCCTGGTGGCCATGGCAGCGAGGCTCCCACGCTCGCCCCTCCTGCCCGCAGAGGCCAGGCCGACACCCTCAGGCCGAGGCCGTGGGGCTCGGCCCCCCTCCGCCCGGCAGCCGCCCTTACCCAGCCGGATGTCGCCCTCCAGGGTCATCAGCACGTTGCCGGCCTTCAGGTCCCGGTGGATGATCTTCTTGCCGTGCAGGAAGTGGAGGGCTTCTAGCATCTGGCGGCAAACGACCTGAATCTGGGGCTCGGTGAGGCCTCGGTCCAGCTCTGGAAACAGAGAGATCTACTGTCAATTCAGCAAGCGCTCGCTGCGGGCAACTCACGGTCAAGCCCACAGCAGGTGCACGAAATCAAACACCGTCAACACCGCCGAGCAGTGACTGTGTGCCAGGCTCACCCCTAAGCACCTCCCTTGTTACCTGTGCCCTCCTCACAGGAGGCTTATGGCGCGGGCACAATTATCTCCCCATTCTACAGATGAGGAAACTGAGGCTCCGAGAGGTCAGGTCGCTTGCTCAAGGTCACACCACTGTCACAAAACAGCGGTGATTACTACTGTATTTTTTTGTTATTGCCCAAGCTTGCTGGGGACATCAAGACTTGACAACAGCCCTGGCTGGTGTTGCTCAGTGGTTAGAGTGTCGGCCCACGCACTGAAGGCTCGTGGGTTCCACTCCTGGTCAAGGTCACATACCTGGGTTTACAGGTTCGATCCTTGGCCCCAATCTGGGCGAGTGTAGGAGGCCAATTAATAAATGTGTCTCTTTCACACTGATGTTTCTCTCTCTCTCTTTCTCCCCTCTCCCTCCCTCCCTTCCATTCTCTCTCTAAAAAAATGGAAAAATAGTCTCAAGTGAGGATTATAAAAAAAGAGAGAGAGAGAGAGAGACTTGACAACAGCCCTGGCCGGTGTGGCTGGGTTGGAGTGTCATCCCATACACTGAAAGGTGAAGGGTTCGATTCCCAGGCAGGGCACATACATGCCTGGATTGCAGGTTTGATCCCTGGTCGGTTAGGGCAGGTATGGAGAGCATATGGAAGGCAACTAATCAATATTTCTCTCACACATTGATGTTTCTCTCCCTCCCCCCCCCCTTTCTCTCCCCACTTTCCGCTGTCCAAATCAATAAAAAGCATATCCTCATGTAAGACAATATTTTTTAATTTTTTAAAAAAGATAACATCCCCATTCAGCTTTTACAAAATGGGGGGGGAATCCCCACTTTTCAAAGAACTTCCCTCAGGTGTCTCCTCGTCACCTCCTAGGAGTGCTGTGGGGCTGGGCCAAGGCATCTTCGTATCCGTCTTATGGCCGAGAAGGCTCAAGGGGGCGAGTGAGCAGAATGGGTTGGTCTTCCCACCAGTGTCCTGCTTCTCTCCATGACCCTAAACCCTGTCCCCAAAGGGGGACAGAGTGGCGGTGCTCACAGGTCCGGGGAATCACTGGGGTGGGTGTGAAGGACGCCTGCCCTAGACAGAGCCGACCCCCCACACCCTGGACCAAGGAAGACTCACCCAGCATGATGGCATCCACAGCTCCCCCCGGACAGAACTCGATCATGATCTGCAGAGAACACAGCAAGGCAGGGATGAGCAGGGCGCAGCTGACGAGATGGGGGATCCCAGCTCCCGCCTCTCCTCCTCCTGCCCCAGGGACTGTGCCGTCTGTACCACCCCCACCCCAAACCCTCACAGGAGGCTCCAACACCCAGAGGAGCTGCAGGGGCACCTCATTTGTCAGAAAAAGAAAGGCCAGGTTGCCATGGGCACCCCAGGTCCAGCCGAGCCCACACCCTCCCGTCCCCCTCAGCCTGTGGGGCTCACGCTTCCCCGCCTCCCAGCTGCCCCATTTCTGTGCGTGACAGCAGGTGTCAGAGGACACCTCAGCCCACATGCAAGCTGTCCACGTCCCCCGAGTCCCAGCACCTGTCTCTCGGTCTCTTCATCTCCCAGAGCCCGGGGCTCCGGCTGCCTCGGGCCTGGAGGGGCGGCTCAGGGAGAAACCAAGGCCCAGAAAGCGGGTGTGATGACCAAGGACACAGACTGTCAGTGGCAGGTCCCAGACTGGAAAGCAGGTTTTCTAACCCTCAGGTCACTCAGGCAAGCATTCCTTCATCATTCACTCACTCACTCACTCAATAACTCACTCACTCACTCACTCACTCATTCACCCACTCACTCACTCACTCATTCAATCACTCACTCGCTCATTCATTCATTCAATCACTCACTCATTCATTCATTAATTCACTCATTCACTCATTTACTCACTCATTCATCAATTCACTCACTCAATCACGCACATTCACTCACTCATTCATTAATTCACTCACTCATTCATTCCTTCATTCACTCATTCATTCAATCATTCACTTACACATCATTCATTCAACACACACCCCTGGGAGCAGGCCCTAGGAGAACCACAAGACCCAGGCCCTCAGGGGCTCCCAGCCCAGTGCAGGGGACGGAAAAGGCAATTAGAGTAAAAAGTGCCCTGAGTACCCACACAGGCTCCCCCTCTGGTCTCCTCCCATCTTCACTCCCATCCCCTCTGGGCTCCTATGTGCAAACATGCTTTCTCTTTTTGCTTGAAGCGCAGATTCAGGTGGGTGGGAAGGGTGGAAAGTGACATGTTGCGGCCGGTGGGTCGCTGCTCCCAGCGTCCCACCGAGACCCAGCTTTCATTCTCTTATCTGTCTTTCCTTAATCCTTTCACCACCCCCCCACACTCAGTCTCAAGTTAACTTTGGGCTGCAACATATGGCGGCCCGAAACAGGGGACTGACTCTGGGCTGGCCACAGTGACACAAAACTACAAGAATGCTCCCCAGGGACCTCTCTCCCTCCTTCGGCTCCTGGGCCCTGCTGGTTGGGGAAGTCCCTCCCACCCCAGAAGGCAGAGCACCACGGGCCCCAGGGGTGGG